CATGAAAGAGACTGCCAAGGCCAGGACAGTGTCCAGCACCCAACTGTCCTCCATTGCCTTCACTGCCTGGGCTACCACGCTTCTGGGCCTTGAGCATCATCTTGACAAGAGCAAGGTGTCTCTTCTTGAAGGCGAGGAATCTATCCCTGAAGGTGCAGTCCTCTGGTCCCTCTCTTCCTGCTGCTCCACGTCCTGGGCTTGTCAGGCCCGCGAGTCCTCCAGCTGGAACAGCGTTGGCTTCTCAATAAAGTTCTACATTGCCTCCCGCCTCCCTGTGTGCTGGGGGACAACGACTCCAGAGGGCATGAGGGAGCTTTCCCAGGCAGGGTGGGGAGCAGGGGGAGGGGCAGGGAGGGAAGGGAATGGAGGGCCCCCTGGCTAGTAGCCAGCTGTGCAGTAGATTAATTTACTGCACAGAAAATGCTGCACATGTGTAGATGGTGATGCTTTACTGTGCAGTAAATTAGTCTGCTGAGGAATAAAGAGTCTCCTTTCTCCCTTACTGGGCAGAGAGAAGTAGTTAGCTGTGTTAGTCTGAAGTCAGGCAGAAGACAGAGCAGAGTGCCTTACACAGTCTGTAAGGTGCAAAAAGTCAGCAACATTTTTGGGCACAGCATAGGCAAAGGAAGGGGGGATAACAGGACTTAGCCCTCTGAAATGCAGGGCAGCGGTAGGGCCACAAGGCAGCCCAGCCTCAGGCTTCCAGCAGCTGCAGCAGGGGTGGGGAGGGGTGCACAGACAGCAGTGAGGGAGGGAGTAGGGTTGGGGCAGCCTGGGATTCGGGCTGGGGCAGGCACTGCACAGTTGGGGCAGGGCATGGGACTGAGCTGTGAGCGGCTTGTCTGGAGGGCGCGGCTCCCACCATTGCGTGCACTCTGGGAGGCATGGGGGCGTGTGCCCCTGGATCTGCACGGGGCAGAGCAGGCTGGCAGTGGCAGTGCTGGGAGGGTGCTATGTGGGGGAGTTGCAGCCACCCCAAAATTCACCATAGTCCCTCCAACTCCCCTACCAGCACTGCTGCCACCTGCCCCAAGTGCAGTGCAGCTCAACTCCCCTGCCGGGAAGAGCCGGATACAGCCCAAGCCCACAGTGGCAGCCCGCCCTGCCCCACACAGATCTGGGGGCACACACTCCCCACGCCCTCCCGGGGTGCATGCAGTGGTGGAACCTGCCACTGCCTCCCTGCATCTCCTGGACGAGCCACAGCCCAGGTCCTGTGCCCCAGACTGCCCCAGTTGGGCAGCGCCTGCCCCAGCCCCACTCCCTCCCCCCGGCCCTTCCCTCGTAGACTTACCTGTTGCTGCGGGGCATGTGCACATGCTCAGCCCTCCCCCCTCCATTTTTTTTGTCCTTATGCCTATGGAGAGTGCCAAAAACATTGGCAACCTCGACTTGTAAGATGTTGGGGTGCTAGGGGTGGATGGTGGGGGCAGCTGCAAGGAGCCCAATCCTTGTTGCGGCAGCACAGCCCCAGCCCCTTCACCACTGTCCACCCTGAGGTGTGCATGCCAAGCAAAATGCCTTTGTGTGCTACACTCTGCCACCCGTGCCAAAGGTTGCCTACCCCTGGTATAAGGTTTCATAAGCAACAGTGTACTTAAATGCTACTGGGGATTACCTTTTTCAAATATATGTAGCCTGTTTCCCCTACCTCATTCTTGCTTAGCAGAGCCATGCACATTTATTTATTTTAATCTTTCTCCATAAATCAGCCATACTCTTCCAATCGTTCTTCCACTGCCTCCAGCTTGCCAACACCTTTCTGCTAATGTATTATCTTGAACATAATTATGCAGACAAATAACCTGACAGTTGGGGGCAAAGTGGCTTCATGTTACCTTTGTGTCTTCTTGATTCTGAGGCCAGCTTGAACATGTGTGTGACAGCACTCTGCAGATTCCATATCATTGGCAAATTCCCAAGCAGCCAGAATGGTTCAAAGGAGCCACTGTGGACCAAAGAATCATCCTAATATTGAAGATGTAGCTACACCACAGTTGCAGCTGAACCTGCCACGTTTTTGTCCTGTGATGTAATGTGCTCAGCCCCAAATCATGGCAGCCTCTTTTGCTTTCAAACTCATGCCTAATTTCAGCGATGACTACTGACTTCCATTCCTAGATCTTTGAAAGCACTAATGCTCCCTCATTTTCTTAATCTCATGCAGCACTGAATTTTGGAATTAGTTTTCTTCTGACAGTTTGTTAAACCTTATGCTGTCATGTCCTGCCTATGTCTCTAATCTCTCTAGATCTCTGCATTTTTTTGCTGTGACAAAGCAATGTTTGCAACACTTCTTGATTTAGTGCCTTTAAAGTCAATAGGAGTAGTGTTGTATCCTTTGTATCCTCTGTTGATTTAATAGGCACGCTGTTTACATCTGATACCTTCCAGATCTACCTGAAATATATCACTAGCACAAGGCCAAACAGAGATCCCTGCACCCTAATTAGTGCCCCTCCACAAAGTGATGTTTATCTCATCATTCTGTTTATCATATGTATGCCGATTATTTTCCTTTGTTTACAGACCTTGGGTCTTCAATATACATAGCCTTGACTACAAAGGGGATTTTCTGTAATTCTCCTGCCATTGCTCCTTTTATTAGTGGTGTTCCCCTGGTGTTAGGCAGAGTAAGCTTGTGAGTGTAGATGGACCACTGGTGATTTTACCTTTGGGTCATCTAGACTCGCTGTGAGCATGGTCTAGAGGTGAAAATGAATGTGGCTAGTCTACACAGGAGTGCTTACTGTTTCCCCTGCACCACACAGTGCAGTAGACAGGCCGAGCTGTACAAAGCAGATCTTTTTTTGAGCTTGCATAGAGGCACGAATTGCATGCTAAGTGGCCCGGGCTTATTTGGCAGCAGCCTGGCCCAGGTTACATGCCTAAGCCACACTGAACTGGTGCTTAGCCTACGCTACAGGATAGCATAGTTTTGCTGAGAAGACTTTTGAGTACCTAGAGTCTAAGTTCCTCTAGATCAGTGGTTCTCAACCTTTTTTGTACCAGGACATATTTGTAAACGTTGATGGCCAGTCATGACCCAGTGTCCCTCACTCCCAACTGGCTGCCCCCACCCCCAGACAGTAGCCCCTCAGGGTGTGTGCGTGTGTCCAGGGAAGGGGGCACCCAAGTAGCCCCTTGCAGGCTGGAACTCTGTCAGCCTGTAAGGGAAAAGCCACGCTTTCCCACATTTTTCTTCTTTAAAGGAGAATCCATTTTTAAAGTTTGTTCATAATCTTTTCATATATTCTCACGACCCACTTTTGGGTCGCAACCCATGGGTTGAAAAATGCTGCTCTAGAGTGACAGTATCCCTTCTCCTGCCAACAGTTACCCAGCTTCTCAGAGTGGAATATGAAGAGCACCCTGGGCTTAAACCTGAGAATGAAAGGATTGCTGTCCTTGTAAGTAAGGAGCACCTGGAATTTGCCCAGTGAATCAGATAGAAGACCTCATCTTTAAAGGTATGGAGCATCCATTACTCTCAGAGATTTCACTGTGTACTATTTAATACAGCAGTTTCCAATCTGTGGTACATGTACCACCAGTGGTACACAGACAACCTGTCAGTGTTATGCATTACCAGATTTATTGGAATGACTTTATATGACAAAAATTTGCTGGTGGTACTTAAGGTTGGACTGAAAAATTTGTTAGTGGTACTGAAGGTTGTATTGTTTTTAATTGGTGGTGCGCAATCTGTCAGATGTTGGGAACTGCTGATTTAATATATAGATTTAGCCTAGTGGCTGTTTACACAGTGATAATCTTCATTGCTATCTTGGTGCTAACTAGAGTGTAGGCGTGTTAATATTAGGGTCAGGTTGAATCAATAACCATGCATCCAGACTTGACCCCGCTCCACTTGAAGTCCATGATAATTTTATTTTTGGTATTCCATCCCACCATGTGCATCGTTAAATAGAAACTAAAACACCCAATAAAAAAATCCTCTATTTAGAACTCAATTTTCACATAAATATTCAAGCCATGAGTCCTTCCCAGCAACTCCCACACTTAGCTAGGTGCTACCACATAGCACTAGTTCTCTCACAGGTTGGCACTCTTAGAAATGTAATCAAAGTTAACATCCTTCACAGCCACAATGCAAAAGTTTAGAGGATTTTTCTCCCTCTCTGTATTAATTGATGGTTTGTAAATGTAATTTACAAGTTGTGAACTGTATTGAATTAGTAATACAAATTGTATTGAATGATATAATACAATACAGTAATACAAACTGCATTGAATTAGTAATACAAATCAAAGGAGCTCTCTTCTTCACCGGTTTTTAGGAGAAAGCAGGGAGTGAACATTTCTAATCTGCTTTACACTAAAAATCAGCGTGCTTAATTGCTAGCAAAAGCCTCTGGTCAAAATAAAACAAGAAGCCACCCCTCAACCAAGATTTGATGGCAACGCTCACAATCTGGGCTCGTATGGATAAATGCAATACGATCAAGGTTGCATTTCAGATCTTAGCCTCTCTTATCAGTTGATTATAAGCATGTTTCCCAACCCTCCTTTTTGCAATTCCCATTCTCCTTTTGGGGTGCAAAGCAGGGAGAAGAGCACAAGAAACAACCACAAATATGTATTTAAGCTTGCCAACACAGAGAGAGGAGTGAAAGAAGGGAAAGAAAAGACAAATGAAGAGCGCTGGTAGCAGAGCCACATCTAAACGCTAATGGCTAGCTTTTCAAGTTTGCTTTGTCTTTTCTCGCAGCTACTTTTTCTTTCCTGCTCTGATTTTTTCCGTTGTTTTCACCCAAAGAAGTTATTTTTCTGTCCCTTCTTACTCTCTTCCGCGAGCCCCTCTCCACCTTTTTTTTTTCCTCATTTTTTTCCCTTTTTTTTTTTTTTTTTTTTAATAATTCCTAGACTAAAGTTTCCTATTGGATGTTTTCGGGTGCCTGATTGATGCCTGCTTCCCATTGGAGCTTTGCAGAAGCTGACATCACTTAGGGAAAGAGGGGTTGGGTTGGCAAGCTTAGTTTGTCACCACCCAGCTTGCCTTGCCTTTGGCTGGGTGGAACTTCCATTTTAGGTGCTGGATCTTGAAAGAAGGGGAAAGAAAAAAAAACCGCCAGAAAGAAAGAAAGAAAAGAAGATCCCAGGCGAGGGAGAAGTGGAAGAGATTGCCGCTTTGCTCTTTTTATATTGATTTGATCAGGGATTGGGCTCTCGTTTTCCTGTTAGGGATTTCTTGGGAAACTCGACTTTAGAGTTCTTTGGTGTGGCTTTTTTTTTTTTTTTTGTGGTGCGTGTGTTTGCAAAGGGCGAAAAGAAGGCTCTCACCCAGGGTAATTTCTTTTTTTGTTGTTGGATATTGTCACACTGAGATACTAAAGAGAGGAGGTAGAGGAATAACCTCGCTGGCAACTTCCCCCCCGCCCCCCTTCCATTTCTTAATCTGCTGCTTTGAAGAGTGGGGGAAACAGATACAAGGAGGCGAAACAAACTTGGAGACTCTTGTTGGTGTAACTTCTGAGAGGGGAGAAAGCCAGGGTAAGGCTAGTTTCTTTCTTTTTGTTCTTTTATTGTTGTAAATGATGGTGGTGGCTGTTGTTGGTTTTTAACTATTTCTGTTCTGGGGAGGTTTGTGTATCTGATGCAAACTAACATGCAACTCCTGGACTGCGGTGTTGCAAGAGGGTCGATTTTTATTTCTGTGTCTATATCTAGATAGCCCCTATGTTTCCTAGGGGAAGGAATTCAGTTGTGTTTAAAAAGGAAGCTTCAGCTTTGTTTGCACTAAGTAGGATATTTCTTTAAAACTTTGGGAAAACTGAGCATTTCAGGGTGTGTTTTTTTTGGGTTTTTTAACTTGATCGGGTCTCTCTCTTTTTTCAAGTATTCTCGCTGGGAATCTGTTAAACTGCTTTCTCCAGTACATTTTAGACCCACACTCTCTCCATGGGTGTATCTCTTTTTTTTTTTTTTTTCTTCCAGGTATAGTTGGGTGGGGACCTTTCTCTTCTCCTTCAACATGGTTGCTTTTTGGAAGGTTGACTTCTCTCTTGATGATTTTCCTTTTTTTTCCGGGGGGAGGTGAAATAGATGCAGGAGGTTTTTCTGTACCAGCCCCTTCAAGGATTCCAAGCTCTGACTGACAACTTGTGTGGTGGCTCGCTCTCTTTCTCCACGCCC